AAATAGACAATAGATAAGTGGTAACTTTGGTGAAGGGTAAGACAGTACACAATACTGGGGAAGCCAGCACAACTTGTACAAGGAAAGGCCATGGAAGCTCCATAGACACATCCAAACTCCCTGAGGGACTGAATTACTGGGCAGAGGGCTGTGGGGACCATGCTCTCAGGGAACATCTAGCTCAATTGGCATAACACGCTATATAAAGAAAATGTTCTACATTCTACCTTGGTGAGTAGCGTCTAGGGTCTTAAAAGCCTGTGAGCAGCTATCTAAGATACTCCATTGGTCTCACCACTTCGGGAGCAAGGGAGAATGAAGAAAACAAGATACAAGGAAGAGATCACTCCAAAGGACTAATGGACCACAACTACTACGGCCTCCACCAGACTGAGTCCAGTACAACTAGATGGTGCCCGGCTACTACCACTGACTGCTCTGACAGGGATCACAACAGAGGGTCCTGGACAGAGCTGCAGAAAAATGTAGAACAAAATTCTACCTCACAAGAAAGAGACCAGATTTACTGGCCTGACAGAGACTGGAGAAACCCCAAGAGTAGGGCCCCCGGACACCCTTTTAGCTCAGTAATGAAGTCACTCCCGAGGTTCACCCTTCAGCCAAAGATTAGACAACCCCATAAAACGAAACGAGACTAATGGGGCACAACAGTCCAGGGAGAAGGACTAGAAGGCAGGAGGGGACAGGAAAGCTGGTGATGGGGAACCCAAGGTTGAAAAGCGACAGTGCTGACATGTTATGGGGTTGTTAACCACTGTCGTAAGACAATATGTGTATTAGCTGTTTAATGAGAAACTATTTGTTCTGTAAACCTTCATCTAAAGAATAAAAACTTTTTTAAAAAAATGACATCCTTAAACTCAAACCTATCAATAATTATGCTGAATGTAAATGGACTAAATGCATCAATAAAGAGACAGAGTGGCAGAATAGATTAAAAAAAAAAAATTCTTCACCAACACCATAATTCAAAGACATCAATTCTTCTTCATCTTCCTTATTCACTGTCTAGCTTTCACATGCATATGAGGCTATTTAAAACACGGCTTGGGTCAGATGCACCTTAGTCCTTAAAGTAACATCTTTGCTTCTTAACACTTTAAAGAGGTCTTTTGCAGCAGATTTGCCCAATGCAATAGGTCATTTGATTTCTTGACTGCTGCTTCCATGGACAATGATTGTGGATCCAAGTAAAACAAAATCTTTGACAACTTCAATCTTTTCGTTTATCACGATGTTGCTTATGGTCCAGTTGTGAAGATACTTATTTTCTTTATGTTGAGGTGTAATCCATACTGAAGGCTACGGTCTTTGATCTTCATCAGTAAGTGCTTCAAGTCCTCTTCAGTTTCAGCAAGCAAGTTGTGTCATTTGCATATCACAGGTTGTTAATGGGTCTTCCTCCAATCCTAATGCTGCGTTCTTCTTCATGCAGTCCAGCTATTCAGATTATTTGCTCAGCATACAGACTGAATAAGTATCATGAAAGGATACATCCCTGACGCACACATTCTTGACTTTAAACCATATAGTATTCCCCCTGTTCTGTCCGAACAACTACCTCTTGATGTATGTACAGGTTCCTCATAAGCATAATTGTTTTGGAATTCCCATTCTTTCCAATGTTATTCATAATTTGTTACGATCCACACAGTTAAATGCCTTCACATAGTCAATGAAACACAAGTAAACATCTTTCTGATATTCTCTGCTTTCAGGCATAATCCATATGACATCAGCAATGATGTCCCTTGTTCCACATCCTCTTCTGAATCCTGCTTGAATTTCTGGCAGTTGCCCGTTTATGTACTGCTGCAACTGCTTTTGAATGATCAGCAAAATTTCACCTGCCTGTGATATTAATGATATTGTTGAATAATTTCCACATTCTGTTGGATCACCTCCTTTGGAATGGGTACAAATATGGATCTCTTCCAGTCAGTTGGCCAGGTAGCTGTCTTCCAAATTTCTTGGCATAGACAAGTGAGCACCTCCAGCACTGCACTGGTTCGCTGAAACATCTCAGTTGGTATTCTGTCAATTCCTGGAGCCTTGTTTTTTGTCAATGACTTCAGTGCAGCTTGGACGTCTTCCTTCAGTACCGTCGGTTCTTGATTATGTGCTATCTCCTGAAATCGCTGAACGTCAACCAGTTCTTTCTGGTACAGTAACTCTGTGTATTCCTTCCATTTTCTTTTGATGCTTCCTGCATCATTTAATGTTTTCCCCACAGACTCCTTCAATATTACAACTTGACATCAGAACTTTTTCTTCAGTTCTTTCAGCTTGAGAAATGCCAAGCGTGTTCTTCCCTTTTGGTTTTCTATCTCCAAGTCTTTGCTAATTTCATTATAATACTTTGTCTTCTCAAGCCGCCCTTTGAAATCTTCTGTTCAGCTCTTTTACTTCATCATTTCTTCCTTTTGCTTTAGCTACTCTATGTTCAAGAGCAAGTTTCAGAGTCTCTTCTGACATCTAATTTGGTCTTTTCTTTCTTTCCTGGAATGAGTAGAAATATGGATCTCTTCCTAACAGTTGACCAGGTAGTTGTCTTCCAAATTTCTTGGCACAGATGAGTGAGCATTTCCAGCGCTGCATCCCTTTGTTCAAGTATCTCAACTGGTATTCTGTCAATTCCTGGGGACTTGTTTTTCACCAGTGTTTTCAGGGAAGCTTGGACCTTTTCCTTCAGTACCATCGGTTCTGGATCCTAGTCCTTCTTCCTAGTCTGTCTTAGCCTGGAAGCTTCGCTGAAACCTGTCCACCACGGGTGACCCTGCTGGTATTTGAAATGCCAGTGGCAAAGCTTCCAATATCACAGCAACATGCAAGCCACCATAGTAAAACAAACTGACAGGTGGGATCAAGAACCTCCTACTGTTAGACATCTAAACTGACTCCTATTTTTAACTATTAAAAATAACACTTTTAGTACTTTTTCCATAGACATATCAATATTTTTGAAGTATTACTGTTGACAATATTGCGATCAAGCCTCCTTCCCTTTGGAAACTGTCCCATCCGCCTGCAGGAGTGAGTACCTGTGGTCATATTTGTACTGTAAGACTCTGTTCTTTGCCCTAGCTGATTGGACTAACTCAAGCGGAGCCAATTAGATTTTCCGCTTCAGGAATGTACGTGGTCACTGGTGGCTCTGGAGCTCAGGAGATGATGGAGAGTCAGAGCTGTGGAAAGCCATTTCCCACCACGTGTAGAGATGACGATGTCGTTGTGTGCCATCAAGTCTATTCCAACTCATAGCGACCCTATAGAACAGAGTAGAACTGCCACACAGGGTTTCCTAGGCTGAAATCTTTATGGGAGCAGATTGCCAGGTCTTTTCTCCCATGCAACAGCTAGTGGGTTCAAACCACCAACCTATCAGTCAGCAGCCAAGTGGTTAACCATTGCACCACCAGGGCTCCGTACGCAGATGATAGCCAGGAGCCTTTATAGAGCTAGTTTTTTGTACAAAAGAGGGGACACAAATACTTAGATGAATGTAACTGAGTACTTACCAAATTGATTGTACTTTCTGATCCTAGCCCAACAAATAATGATGACGCCAGCAGGTGCTTTTCTTTCTCCTCTCTGGATTGCGTATGGGCTTGAGGTTGATCCTTTTTTGTTACAGTTTGATTTACATTCTCCATTATTACACTCTTTTGAGGAATAGGCTGAGCTTCATCACCTGTTGCACTTTCCTTCTTGGGAAGATAGCCCTCTTTTCCCCACAATTTCTTTATACCTTCCAGCTTCAAGCTATTTGTCCTAAGGAGATTAATAATAAAATCAAGTCAATTTAAATCTAACTATTTTCTTGAGGCATTTTTCAAAACACATCATTGTCTTTTAGAAACAGCTTTCATATTATATTCTATATGCAGAAGTAAAACCCGAACCTCTAGATTGTATTTTAGTTATAGTGAACCTTCCCTCAGCCACCCCTTATCCAAACGATTTAAAGCAGCAGAACTCCAGACTTAGGAAAATTTCAGATCATTTAATTTTCACTTAATTGCTTGAATAAGTTGTACAAAAATAGAACCACTGTAAATCAGTTCCTTTCCCCATTGATTTTTCAAAAATACCTTCTCTTTAATTCTGATGAGTTAAAGGTCAGAAATGACTCTTAAAGTTTCTTGGCTGTAATCACCCAATGAAGGGATTAAACCAACACAAATTCACTCAAGAAAACCCTGTTGGGAGCAAAAAACTGTTTAAATGAACTCGTATGTGTAAAACTACTTTTAATCCAAATGCTTTTTAATGTTAGCACTAGCTACATTTTTTCCAACTATTACAAATATACTTTTATAAAAAATAAAATGAGGTTTCGTCTACAAAAGAAGCAAGTTAATAAGATTTTAGGAAAAAGCATAAGGGTTAGGAATTTTTAATACCTGAGTTGAAAAAGAATCAACATAGTGATTAAGAATCATGTGTCCAGCCCAGAAAGCCTATAACAAAGCTTTTACTAGGCAGAAAGTCCAGGGTCAAATTTAGAATTTGGACTCACCTACTGTTTTCTGAAAAGTTATAGCTGGTGAATCTGGAGTGACTAATACAACCAGAAGTGCAGGATGAAACAGTCAAAGATTTGCCTCTATTGTTGTCACATAAGAACTAGGTGTCCTTGTCACTTGGCTCATTTAAGCATCCCTGTCATGGCCTGAAACAGCATTTTAAAAATCTGCACTATAAGTTAGGTAGATGTTAAATGAATCTACAAGGAAGCCTCAGAAATATTTGTACTGAGTATTATTTTTGTCTAATTTATTGAACAGAAATCATAATCAATTTAATTTTCTATAGTATGCCAAAAACAAAAAAATGGGTAGCTATGCTTCATAATGAGTGAAGAACTAATGCAAGTGAGTACTTAAGTGGCTGAAGAAAAATCTAAACACTATTAAAGAATGCCCTACAGGGAACTGGTCCATTCCTCCTCAATGATTTTTACTGCTGAGTGCTCCTTTACAAATATCTTTCTTTGTCATGGAAGCCCCATAGACACACCCAAACTCCCCAAGGGACTGAATTGCTGGGCAGAGGGCCGTGGGGACCATGCTCTCAGGGAACATCTAGCTCAATTGGTATAACACAGTTTATTAAGAAAATGTTCTACATTCTACCTTGGTGAGTAGCGTCCGGGGTCTTAAAATCTGTGAGCAACCATCTAAGATACTCCACTGGTCTCAACCCTTCGGAAGCAAGGGAGAATAACAAAACAAGATACAAGGAAGAGATCACTCCAAAGGACTAATGGACCACAACTACTACGGCCTCCACCAGACTGAGTCCAGTACAACTAGATGGTGCCCGGCTACCACCACCGACTGCTCTAACAGGGATCACAACAGACGGTCCCGGACAGAGCTGGAGAAACATGTAGAACAAAACTCTAACTCACATAAGAAGACCAGACTTACTGGCCTCACAGAGACTGGAGAAACCACGGGTGTATGGCCCTGGACACCATTTTAGCTCAGTAATGAAGTCACTCCCGAGGTTCACCCTTCAGCCAAAGATTAGACAGCCCCATAAAACAAATGAGACAAATGGCGCACAACAGTCCAGGGACAAAGACTAGAAGGCAGGAGGGAATGGGAAAGCTGGTAATAGGGAACCCAAGGTTGAGAAAGGACAGTGTTGACATGTTGTGGGGTTGGTTGTTAACCACTGTCATAAAACAATATGTGTACTGTTCAATGAGAAATTATTTGTTCTGTAAACCTTCATCTAAAGCACAATTTTTAAAAAAGTTAAAAAATTTTAAAAAAAAACTTTCTTTCAGGAACCAAAAAAGTTTTTTTGTTTTTTTAAAGTTAAAAAGATAAACAAAAAAATCCTGTTAGTTACCAAATAAACTTCCTAGAAGAAAACTGGCTGTCCCTGCCATGAGCAGATCCAAAAGTGGTCTTGGGAACCACTAAAACGACCCTCAGCTTCTCTAGGATGCTAAAAAGCAGCAAGTCCGAGAGGATTCATGAATACCCACAGCAGGATACAGATTCTCTGTACCCCCTTTAACAAAAGTATCTTTATTTTTTTTAAAAAAAAAAAAAAAAAAAAAGGAGCAAATCCCCAAGTTTTACTAACAATTCAAGCATTAGTTTAACAAAAGAAGGCAGGGGTGGTGAACACTATGATACTCCACTGAGACCCCTTTCAGTGAAGGACCTGTTGCCTCAGCTCCTGGAATGCTGTTAGCAGATAGACCTGCTCCTAGTCCCATCAGAGACTGCCTGAGCTGCACAGACCTATCTCACCTGACACCAAGTCCCTTCCCAGAGCAGCCCACGTCCAATGACTGATCAACAGAAGTATACAGTCCTGGCCACCCATCTTGGGCCAACTCAGGATAACTCTGAAAGGTCATTTTAGCTCCAGGGTTCCCCATGGGCTCAGCAGAGGCTGTTGGTGGTACTGCATTCCGTCCTGACTTCTCCCTCTGCCCAAATCTGCTTCCTTTCCCTTCTTTGTGCTGATCCTAAGGACACTCCTTAATATTTTGCATGCTAAATTCTGTCTCAGAATATGCTTCCCAGGGAACCCAACCCACAACAAGCAAAATGAGAAAGGTGGGAAAAACAGCCTAAAAGAATTCTCAAGCTATTTTAAAGTTTTTTTTCTGGCTTATTTCACCTGCATACATGCCTATTCCAACATATGCTTTCTCTATCATACATTACATATAGATTTGTCTAAAAAGTAGGAAAGTACACAAGAGAGTAGTATAAGGCCATCTGATACACAAATTATGCCTCCTTATGACATAAAATATATCTTAAAAGAATTTTTTGTAACATGAGTCATCTTTGTGTGGATTTTAACAACACTGCTACATAATACATGGTTTTATCTGATGTACCTTTGTACTGTTTTTAATCAGATCATTCAAACACAGATGTAAATTCTGACTAAGGAACTTTCAAAGGATTGGAAGTGTATTTTAACTCAGCTCAGCTCCACGAATTCCCAGCTTTGCCAAATGCCATTTTCCTGAGGGTAGTATTTATGTATATATACAGATAAATACAGATAGACATATACAGAGAGAAATGTATGTGTGTGTGTGTGTATGTGTGCGCGTGTGTATACACACACACGCACACATACACACACACACACATATATATAAAATTTACAGGGCCCTACCAAGTTCCCCAGAGCCCTGGTGGCACAGAGCTTAAGAGCTCAGCCGCTAACCAAAAGGTCAGCAGTTCGAATCCACCAGTCGCTCCTTGGAAACCCTATGGGGCAGATCTACTCTGTTGTATAGGGTCACTATGAGTCAGAATCAACTCGACAGCAAAGGGTTTGGTTTTTGGTTTCTACCAGGTCCCCCAGATACTAGTTCAGTACTAAAAAAGCAGATGCTGTCTCTTGTTGTGTAGGCAAAAGGGACTGTGTAAGTTCCTCGTTGGGTTTAGGATAGTTCCTATCTCTCCTTCCCTTGCCCCTCTGTTCCCTGTTTAGGACACTTAATTGCTATCACCTCCACCATCATGTGCCCTTAAACCCTATCTGTTCCCCATGCTCAGAATACCGAAATTAAATGCCTGGGAAGAAAATAAGGGTGTCAACAGAGCAGAAAAAAAAGAGAAAGATTATTTGAATATAGATTATTTCATTCAGCTTACCATTCTACATTCCTAATAATCTATTTGTGTCACTGTGATAAATACTTATAGCCATCTCATTGGAAGACTGACAAATAAAGGGAGGAACATAAAGTAAGGTGACTGACTGCTTAATAAATACACAGTATCTCAAAATTTAAATGTCATCTTTCAAAGGTGTCATCTTTGAGAGTTTATGACTTTTATTCCAACAGTGCTGGCATTACTTCAAACATTTTTGAACTCTTTTAAAAGAAGCTCCTTCAGAGACAAGAAAGATATTTTCCTTTATTATCACATCAGGATTTTGACTAAAATTATCCAGATTGATCAATAATTTACTTGGTAAACTCAGCTTCTGAATAATGATAATGATGATGATGGTAATGAGAATTACTATTAATAATAACAGCTACCATTTATTTATCAGTCACTTAATATTTACTGGGTTGTACCACGCATTTTACATACATCATCTTATTTTTTTTAATTTAATTACGTTTCTAAAGTAATTTAACTTTACTTCCAAAACCAGAATCTGTCTTTAAAGGATGAAAATTTGGCTCCATGTAAGACATTTAGACAAATGTATAACCCATTTTCAAGGCGGTTAGAAAGAAGTTCTAAAAGCACTTTGAGCAAGAATACAGCTTCCTCAGGAGACGTCAATTACCTTATTTTATGTTCATCTCTGTATCTGCCAATCTTCCAATGAGATGGTTACAAGCATTTATTAGAAGAATGATACAAATAGATTATGAGGAATGTAGAATGATATGCTGAATACTTACTTGGGTGTATAAGTTCTGATATTCTTCCTTAAAAAATAAAAATAATGTGTTATTATTATTATGTATAAAGCTTGTACACATTCAGTGCTGTCTTGGAAGGTAAGCTCTTAAAGCAGAGAGACATACTATACAATATCAACACCCTGAGAGCAATAAACAGAAAACAAATGAAACAACTGGCCCACCCAGACTTCAGCTTTCAGGTACACCTCAAGGCATTATATTAAAACACATAGTCATAAATGTGCCTCTCCCTTTGAAAATTATGTGAAGACCACTGAAACAATAAACTCAGAAGTCACTCTAAAATAAGCAAATAATAATGATGATACAAAGCAGAAGGCAAATGGAATGTCAAGAGACATTTAAGCACTCACATATTCTCAATTTTAATAAGAAAGGAACTTACTCTTTCAGCCCTGTCTCAGCACTATTCCCAGATACATCTGAACCAACAGAAATGCCAGCAGGAGACTGTCGTCCAGTGAAACCAGATGCAGAAAAGGAGAGTCCATATGGTTCAAAATTAAGGACTAGAATTTTAAAACAATAACAGAAGTTCATATTTAAAGCAAAGCAAAAATTATGGGGAAAAAAAAGCAAAAATGATCAAAGTTACTTTAAGACTGGAATCCAATGACAATTTTTAAATTGGAAGAGAGTTTGGAAATAACCTAATCAAATATTAATAGTAGTAATAATATAGCAGCTACCATTTATTGAATGCCTACTACAGGTCTTCATACTACTAGGTGACTGTCTTAGTTATCTAGTGCTGCTATAACACCAATACCACAAGTGGATGGCTTTAACAAAGAGAAATTTATTCTCTCACAGTCTAGGAGGCTAGAAGTCCGGATTCAGGGCACTAGCCTTAGGGGAAGGTTTTCTGTCAACTCTGGAAGAAGGTTCTTGTCATCAATCTTCCCCTGGTTGAGGAGCTTCTTAGTGCAGGGACCCCAGTGCTTCTTTCTTGGTGGTATGACGTCCCTATATCTCTCTGCTGGCCTCTCTCTTTTATATCTCAAAGGAGACTGGCTTAAGACACAACCTAATCTTGTAGACTGTGTCCTGCCTCATTAACATAACTGCCTCTAATCCTGCCTCATTAACGTCATACAGGTAGGATCCACAACACATAGGAAAATCACATCAGATGATAAAATGGTGGACAATACTGGGAATCATGGCCTAGTCAAGCTGACTCATATTTTGTGGGGACACAATTCAATCCATGACAGTGATCAAAAACAAATTGTCCATATTTGTCTTTTTGTCTCCCTGAGAAGCTAAAAAAGGGTTCAATTAGGAAAGAGAACTGATAAACCATGTCAGCTAAAAAGCTGCTGTTCTCATGGTGAGCTATGAATAGAGGACCATGTTACTCTCAGGCACATTCTTGTACTGAATGGCGTAATGGAGCCCTAATGTGAAATATCCCCACTGACAAAGAACAAGATTTACTCAAGTTCAGATTCCTTTAAATCTGTATTAACTGAAATAAATTCTATCAGAACTATGAAAATTCATATTGTTATTGTGGTAGAGCTGATGCCTACCCCAGCATCCATTCTCCCCTTCTTTCTAAGTAACAGAACCCTTGATTCTTAGCTAGGCACATGACTCCCCAGGAAAGAGACTACATTTCCAGACTCCTTTGCCACATGACAGTGTTCTGGCCAACGAAATTATGCACAAGTTTTATGAGCAATTTCTGGGAGGAGTCCTCCTGAAAAAGAAAATGTCTTCTCCTCCTTCTTCTCTCCTGCTTTCTAGATTCCAGCATGACTGCTGGATGTGGGTAGCCATCTTGGATCACGAAATGGCACATCAAAGATGCCAGAACAGCAAGAGAGATGAAGCCTGGGGTTTTTTATAATCATGAAGTCATCATCAACCCTAGGGTGCCTACCTCTGGATTTCTTTAATGGGAGAGAACAATAACTTTCTACATTGTATAAGGTACCACTTTATTTATTTTCTAATATGCAGCTAAACTTAACCCTACTGACACATTTATCATTCTTGGACCTTGCTTGCTGAAAGTGAAGAGGACTTGAAGAACCTACTGATGAAGATCAAAGACTACAGTCTTCCCTATGGATTACACCTCAACATAAAGAAAACAAAAATCCTCACAACTGGACCGATTAGCAACTTTATGACAAAAGGAAAAAATACTGAAGTTATCAAAGATTTCATTTTTCTTGGATCCATAATCAACATCCACAACTTACTGAAGATTACAAAGATAGGAAATGCTAGAGTAAAAAAGAAAATCATACACTCTGGCTCCACAGCTGTATTCTCAACCATTATATTATATTATATTGCCTCCTCCAAAGGATACTGCACTGAATCCAAAGAGTACTAAATAAACAAAAGCTTGTTTGTTGAATGAGCGATATAGAAGAGGAATCAATATGCAGTAGAAAATATAATGGAAGAAGTGAGTTTACAATGTAAGCCTGGTATTAACTAGATGTGTGAACTAGCTCTTAATTTCTTCATCATTAAAGGGTTTGGACTAGGGATAGACGTCTATACTCTGCATCATTTTTTAAAGCTCATTTTCATAATCAAGTTTGGAAACCACTTATCTAAGTATCTCTAAGGTCCTTTTCAGCTACAGTATTCGCTCACTCTAGGCTTTTCAATCATCTAGTTTAGCCTTCTACATAATACTGGCCTCTCTTTAACAGCATCTGTGATAGTCATCCAGCCTCTGCATTAACACTTCCAGTAACAGTGAAAACAGTGAATAGCTCAAGAAATGTTACCTATGCACAAGTAAAGGCTTTAGACCAAAAAGCAGAAGTTCAAAAACTGAGGTGCAGAATTTAAGAGCAGACAGGAAAAGACTAGACATAGAAGGGGACAGCATCTGGAGAGTAGACAGATAAAATTATAATTCTGAGACAATTAAAAATTGTTACCTAAAGCAGGCCTGGAAAGGCTCATGGTTGAGAATGTAGTTCAAACCATATTATTTTCATTTTTTAGTAACTGCCCCCCCTCCCCCATCATCCACACAGTAATCAATGACTGGAAAGACCAGAGATTTGGGGGAGTTAACTAGGCGTGCAAGAGCTCATGCACACAGTGTGGGGAGAATAAAGGTATACAGAAAGCAGACGACGACGAAGATGGCTGAACAGCAGCTTAATGAATATGTAAAAGTTAAAGGGGAAGGACAATTCAGAAAGAACAGAAGGCATCAGTAATGGCAGGAAAGCAAAGAACATGGTGGCTATTAGCAGTCTGGATGAAACAAAGATGATAAGCAATAGATGGGAAGTTATACAGGATCCTAGGCTTTAATCCCATAGGCAATGATGAATCACTGAAAAGTTTTAAGGGGAAGAGAATCACAATCAGAGCTTTGTTTTGGAGAGGTCATTTAGATGGCAACGAAGAAGATGAATCTGGCAGGACAAGACTGGAGACAGAAAGACTCCTTGGAGTTGGGAGTTACTGAAGTAATTCAGGTGAGAGACAATATAAATTATCTACAGCAAAAGTAATTCAACATTTTAACTGTTCGTATCCTTCATGACTTTAGAGGCCTTAATTATATGCACATTCCTAGGGTCACTATGAGTTGGAACCAACTCAACAGCAATGGGTTTGGTTTTTTGTGGTGTTCTTTAACTTGGGAGTCCTTGAGTGGTACAAATGGTTAACATGTTCAGCTGCTAAAAGGTTCAAGGTTTAAGTTCACTCAGAGATGTCTTAGAAGAAAGGCCTGGTGATCTACTTCCAAAAAATCAGCTATTGAAACCCTGTAGAGCACAGTTCTATTCTGACACACACAGGGTCACCATGAGTTGGAATCGATTCGAAGGCAACTGGCTTTTCTTTATCTTACCTCATACTGCAGTTCTTTCATACTTTGACTGTTTGGTTATACCTGTTTATCCTCAGTTGTAATTTATTTATTTTTTTGAGAGACTAATAACCTGAATTTGTCCTGGTTTTCCAAAAGCCATATTTCTGTTAGAGGAGAGATTCCACTGCTGTTTCCCCTTACTATTTCTGGTGTTATCTTAACACTAGGGCTATAGCATTTCTGAATAATGTTTTAATAGAATAATCCACACTGATTCCTAAATGTTCTTCTTGAGTGGAAACTGGTAGTAAAGTTTGCTCCCTTCCACCCCATCTATGTTTGTGAATTCTTACTATCTTAAAATATGTTTCTGAAGTTTATCTTTATAAATTTGGCATTTTTCCGCCCAAGATAGCTCAGAGCTAAGGATCATTTATAAAACTGACAGATTTAATTACTACTCTCTCAAATGATTTATCAAATTCTCAAATAAGATCAATACCAGAGCTGATACATGTAGGATCGCGGAATTAACACCTCTTTGGGCAAAAAATGCCTACTTTTTTCCTACCTTCTTTTTTCTATCTTAGAGCCAGTCCTGTTCTCAAGGTATATTTTATAATTCGTCCACAAGTATTTACTCAGTACCTGCTATGTTCTACCTCAGAGCCAACTTCCTTCTCTGTAATATAACAGGCATTCTAAACTCACAAAAATCTCACTTTTGCTTTAAAGAATTTTATAAAAATAGATTTAGGAGGAGAGGGGAAGAGCCTAATTTGAAAGCTTAACCCCATTTATGATGATGGTTTTATAGAACAAAATGTGCTTGGCAAAGGAATTCATCAGCTTGGGGAATTTCAGGGCTATCTATTATATGTGCGTCAGCTATTTAACTTACTTTAAGAAAGAAAACAGGTAATGCCAGGAATTAGGCACCCCACTACCTTCCCTTCCCTCCTCCGTGATCTGACAGTTGTAATTCAGAACAATTTCACTTTTTTTTCTTCACCACATTCAATCAACATATAAGGAGTTAATGGGAAGGAAACTGATTATCCTTTGAAAGAGAACTCAATCTTCTAGGCCATTAGGTATCTCTATGCTAAAGAATATATCAAAAGCCTTAAAAAGAGGAAATGCTTCTGTAGAAAGATGGCATCAATCCTATTATGAGCATTTGTAACTTTCTGGTCTCGTTTTAGGATCAATCTTTTAGTTGTACTCATAACTGAATATGCCTAGTACCAGAAAGAAAAAGAAACCAATTGCCATTGAGTCGATTTTGACTCATGGCGACCCATGTGTGTCAGAGAAGAACTGTGCTCCACAGGGTTTTCAATGGTTGATTTTTCAGAAACAGATCGCCAGGCCTTTTATCCAAGTCACCTCTGGGTGGACTCGAATCACCAACCTTTTGATTAGCAGCCAAGCACATTAACCATTTCTACCACCCAGGGATTCCATGCCTAGCACAGAGCCTGGAAAACAGTAAGTACTTAATAAAACCATTAAATGATGAATAAACAGAGAGAGAGAGAGAGAAGACTTTTCAGCATTAAACTGTATCAAAAGACATTCTGAACTCCTAAAAAGACTGTATTCATTAGTCTCCCTTTATTCCTATGCAGACTTCTCACTCACCACCCAAATATTTCAATGATTTCCCCTTTACCAAATTCATAACAACAATCTTCCCCTGACAGGTTACATTTCTTAAATGTAAAGTTACTTTTCCCTTTCTTAGCTGTTCCTAACCTCACGGACCAGATATTTTGTTGAAGGATGCATCCTAATACACTTAAGAAATAAGAGACTGCTCAGGATGAAAATGAAACTCACTAGTCCATAGTAACCAGGGTTTCTTCTAAAACTTTTCAGCCCTGTAGAGGGTGACCAACATGATAATTCCATCTTCAAGTTCTTTCAAAATTCCAGGACAGTAGTCTATCTTTTATATACACACACACACACACACACACACACACACACACAGTCTGTCCACACCTATGACTTTGGAATACCTCTAGGCTAACTTTTCTTCTCTGGGTATCGGAAGATCTAGTCAGGGTAAACAAATCACAAGCAGACTTAAACAGGGATTAAATTAAAAAGATTTAAAAACTAAATATCCTTAGTTATTTATTACATGATTATAATATCAATTACACAAAAAATATGTCCTTATAATCTAGCTTATTATAAGCCCACGAAAAACTACCCTTTTCACATTGGTGACGCTTGCACAACATGATTAATGCAAGTGATGTCACTAAAATTATACACATGAAACATGTTAAATTGGCAAATGTGTTACATGCACTTTTACATCAATTTAAAAAACTTTTTTTTTTACCCTTTTCCTGAGAAAGCTTTTCCTCCTGGCGCTGGTGGTGAGGTTTGTAAGGTGCCACACCCTGATTGAGTCCTTCAGCCACAAAACCATCCAGAAAAGATAAGGAAGCATCTACCTGTATTAAAATGAAGCAAAAATTAGGAATTAAAAAAAAAAAAAAAAAACTATTCTAAACAGTAGACTGTACCTTCACCTAAATATTTTAGCCCATATATCCTAAAAAAAAATTTAAGTGAAAAACAGAAGCTTCAATTCTAAATGAGCTATCTAACTCTCTGGGGCCCTTGTGGTGCAGTGGTTAAGAGCTATGGCTGCTAACCAAAAGTCAGCAGTTCAAATCCACCAGCCACTCCTTGGAATCCCTATGGAGCACAGTTTTACTCTGTCCTACAGGGTCACTATGAGTCAGAATCCACTTGACAGCAATGGGTTTTTCTGGGGCGGGGGGGGGGGTCCAACCCTCTAGCTTTCTAAAACATCTTTAATCAAGTTAACCAGCTAAGAATCTAATAATGTTAGTCATTCTTCAGTTATTATTAATTTCACTACATTGTAGAACACATTTTTGAGCATCCAGTATTTCAGGGTATTATGCTAGGTACTATGATTGAGGCAAAGGAAGACAAAGTTCCTACCCTCAGGAGACTGGTAGCCTACTGTTGAGACAGACACATACACTAGGAAGCATAGTATCTTTGTTAGTTTCCTTTTGCTGGGAGCTAAAATCAAAGTGCCAGCAGGGCTGGTTCCTTCTGGCTGTCTCCAGGAAGAATCTGTTCCTTGTCTCTTTCTGTTTCCAGAGGTTTCCAGCATTCCCTGGCTTGTGGCCACATTCCCTCCAATCTCTGCTTGTCACTTTGCCTTCTCCTCTCTGACTTTCTGCATTCCTTTGTAATTATATCATACCCACCTGGCTAATCCAGGATACTCTTCCCATCACAGATCCATAACTTAATCACACCTACAAAGTCCCTTTACTATGTAAGGCAACATATTCATAGATTCCAGGAATTAGGTACTTTTTTTTTTTTTTTTGGAGGATGGGGGCACTATTCAGGTTAAAACAGTTTAACTGTGCTATTCCCCTTCTGCCTAAAAACGCTTTTTCACAAATCTATGGAAAATTACCTAATTTCAGCAAGAACAGAAAGGCATGAGAGAATGATTAACTAAAAAGCAATAAGTGATGAAGAAAGAGTAAGAAGTAAAGGAAAAGAGAAAAAGTAAGAAGAAAAAGAAAAATGAGATAAACACAAGAGGATATAGCAGTGATGACCTCAGAAACCAGACCGGCTTCCACTAATATATGCAAACAGCTCAGATAATTTAGAGCATCAGGTAATCCTCAGTCATTTAAGCGGCATCTCAAACTCTGAATTTAGAAAGGTTTAGCTTCAGCAAAATTCTCAGAGATGGGGCTATGTCATCTTTATCAGGGGCAAGGAAGAGTGTACTGACTGCCTAGTTTAATACTATGTACAGCAGATTCCTTCATGATTTCAACAAACATCTCTGGAACATCTACCATATGCTAAGGCAGGGCCTCTACGTTTAAGGAGCTATTGAAAGAATTAATGAACAAATACTCAAAATGAATACAAGCCATGAAAATATGGCTCAGAATTAATAGGAATACTGCCCATCCTCTCTTCTTTCCCAACCCTGTGACAACTAATAAACAGGAATTTATATTTCTCAACTATGTTTTCTCAACTGGTTTCTCTTTGGAAGTTTTCTGATTTGCATCAATTTGAAAAAAGAGAATGGTATGATTTAAGAGGGAGAGTCGTAACTGAGCACTCTGGGCTAAAGAGCTGGTGGCCAAAAGCAGGTGGGAGAAGGAAAGGTGGGTGGCCAGATTCTAAATTGGTTAAAAAAAAAAACTTACATAGTAGATAGATAAAATAAAATGGGGAACAATATTTTTTTCCATTCTCAAAAAAAAAAAGGTAAGAATAAAATGACTTATAGAAGTTCAGAAGAGATAAAAATAAAAGAAATTCCTGAATTATTATATGTTAAAAGAGACTGTCACAGAATATAAATTCCTTAACAGCAGTTCTCCAGAAAAGAACTGACTATTTAGGATCAGTACCAAACGAAGCTCTCCAATTAGCTCTCAGATGAACGTGAGAAAACTCCAACTTTCATCTTAAGTGCTACAGATACCGTATTTTGGTACAGTCCTGACATATCAGAAATGTAACAATTACTCCACATTTAAAGACAACGCAATTTTAAAAAGGTGGAACACAGATGCCTTACCACCATGTCTTCACAACTCTTATTAACTGGAAGTACGCTCTTCATGAGTTCCACATTCTCATGCAAATGTTTTAATTCAAATGCATGCTGTCTCATACATGTATCCAAAGATATGATAAATTCCTGGATTAATCTCTTAACTACGTTAGATGAATGTGCTTGAGGTGTCAACTTGGTCACAGCAGCAATTAACCAGGCTTTTGTTTCTGAAGAAATGGAGCTATGCATAAGTAACTTGTAAAGCTTGGTTATAACCGCCTCAGGTGTTTCCTTATCCAAAAGGTAGGAATACTCCCCTAACACCTATGAGTAAAATAGAGAGATATTTATACACAAAAATCAAACTATGCAGCAAACTATACTAAGCAAAGTGCCTACACAAAGAGTGAATTTAATCTAGATTAAACATACTCTCATGGTGAAGAAATTTTTAGATAAAGATAAAATTCTACACTGTAGGTTCAAAATTGTACCAACTGGAACTCAATACAAAAAAGTTTTCCATGTTTAAGTCATTAACAATGCATAAAGCAGCGGCATACCTTTCTTCTGATTTTTAGTAGCACTTTCACGTTGTTATTATTTTCCAATAGCATTTAAACAAGTGGTTCTCACATGTTAGTATGCATCAAGAGTCACTTGACAGAAAGGGCCACATAAACCCGAGACTGTATCAGCCTGAGACCAGAAGAACTAGATGGTGCCTGGCTACCACCAATGACTGCCCTGACAGGGAACATAACAGAGAGTCCCTGATGGAGCAGGAGAAAAGTGGGGTGCAGAACTCAAATTCTAGTAAAAA